TTAAGGTATTTGCGCATCACTCCCCAATATCTCTATGTAAACATATCTGCGGGGAGTGATGAGGTCGGAGCCTAGACGCCAAAATCTAAATATACTGTACTGCTTAATAAACATTCCAAACGTGAGTTGGCTGACTGAACTGCATTTATAACTATTGCTACACCACAAAACATAATAAAAAAAATTGCTCCAATTAAGCTACCGCACACAAATTTGAAAGGCAATGTTTAATATCCTTGATCATTGTTCTTTTGCTCAGAGGTTTCCTAGGAGCAGTAGCAGAAAATCTGGCTAAGGTGGCAGCTTTTGCCCTTAATTGGTTAAGAGAAAACATTTTTGTGTGCCTGCCCTGAGGCCTTCAATGAAATCTGTATTTATTATAATATTGGTTACAATGATAATTTGCCATAAAGCCGCCTTTAAAAAAACATGTGATTGCCAAGGCCACGCTCTAATGAGGAGCTGTAATACGCTCTGATCTCATCATAAGGGTTAACAGTGGATTATGCAGAAAGCTTCAAACTATGCTTTTAAAACAGTTAAAGCAGTCACACTGTTAGGGCAGAGAATAACACCATCTCCTAAATTAACTCTGGGGTTATCTGACTTTTTAATGTGGAATCGTTACAAAGGCAAAGTGAGGACATATGCAATAAGAAAAATGTAAAGTGCAAGTGTTGGTGAGTCATTGCTAATGTGTTTAAAAGGCTGGTTTCAAATGTCACTGAGGCCAAACACATAGACACAGATAGATTAAGTCTGTCTGCACACACACCTCGCGTGCCATTGAAAAAGAGGGTCTGTCGGCGGGGATTCTGGATGACCACGATTGATCCATCGTAGTTCTGCAGGCGGCAGGAGATCTGGGCTGTACCTCCCTCCAAGACTGTCACATTTTCCGCCTGCACCGCCTGACAATGGGCTGAGGGAGAGAAAGATGAACGTTAATATAGTGATACAGAAGGTGGGAGGAGGGGGAGAAAAAGAGGGAGAGAAGAGGAGAAGGACAAATAGAAGGAACAGATGCAGAGAAAGAGAGATGTTCAATTTGCACCTCACTTGAGATAGAACCTTTCAGAATAAGGTACTTAAAGCATCCTTCATTTACTCGCTATTCATCATATGGACACAACAAGGGAGAAATTGAGAGGTGGAGTAAAGAAAGGAGGAGGCTGAGTGAATGAGATAAAGAGATTGAGAGTGAGAGAAAGGACAGTGAAGAACTCAACAAGTAAAAGAGGGTCCTTATGAACAATGTGTTCTTATGATTATAATAGGGATAATTATAATTACTGCCATTCATCTTTTTACGTGCACAAACACACACATACAAACAGCCCTATTGCCTCTGGCTAGTTTAACAGAATGCATCAACACACACATTTGAATACATAATGCCTTATTAAATCTCTAAGTGGCAGTCGGTCTTAAACACAACAGCACAAATACACACAAGGACACACATTAACACAGCCATGGCCACATATGGACCAACACACTCACACAAAGGCACATGGGCAGATCACATGCTGGACTGTGGCCCTGCCACCACCTGTGCATATATTAATAGTTTAAACTGCAGACTTATGGTATGAATCTGTAATTGACTCAGTGTGAAAAAGATGGCCAAAGTGCAAAGCAGTGAGATCGTGGTGGCAGCCTCGAATGCTACAGCAACACATTCTTAATGCTATTTTCAGGTGCAAGCTAAACCAATTGATTACACTCCATTATCCCGATGTAATGGTCCTTATTATAGGTATTTGGAAAGTGCTGGGGGGCGATCATGCACCAGCTTTGGCTCTTGTGAATGAAAATGCCCATGGACACAGACACCTGTATAAGTATTTATGTGCGTGCATGTGCCCCTGCGAGTACACACTCACAAATTTGAATGCATACATACACACACACACACACACACACACATATACACAACATATGCATGCATGCAGAGTCACGCGCACATTCACAGAAACTTTTGCATATTATCTTCCAAACAAACTTGTCTGGCCCCTAAACCCAATATTTTTAGACAACGGGGCTGTGAAGCAGCAGGGAGCCTCTTTGATGTTGCTGACAGCCCAAGAGTCAGTAATGAGGAGGTTGATTATGCTCTGATTGGAGCGCCCTCCGTGTTTGCGGGTCAGACTGTTGACACGGCTCAGCTGAGTCACACCTCCCGCTGAGCACAATGGACACCGAGCTCCGCTGTTTGAATCCAAATGATTTATGCGCAATTAGCCATAAGGCTTCAGCCAGGAGTGGGGTGTGATTGCCTTGAAGAGAGTACCAGCTTGCTGTCTTCCCCAAACTAGTATTTACCAATTTGCATCCCCATTTACATTCCCTCTCTCCCTGGCAAAGTGTTTGCCGTGGGGAGGATTTAGAGAAAGAATGACATCAATATCGAAACATGATGATGAAGCAGGCAATAAGGTGTGCTGATAAAGATGGTGGGTTTGTATATATTTCACTACTGGTTCTAGCAGTGTCTCTGAGTTCTGTAAAACACCTTCAGAAGGCAGGAAATGTTGTGAGACAAACAGATGGTGGCTGCCATAGCAGGAGTTGCTGACTTGACTGCTGTGGGCCAAAATAAATGTCTATATCTTCAACCAAGCGTGTCCTAAGTTTTAGTGTGTGTGTGTGTGTGTGTGTGTGTGTGTTTGTGTGAGTGAGTGAGTGTGTGTGTATGAGCTCACATGCACAATAGGTGGGCATGTGCATGGCGTTGACATATTGCAATTAAGCTACTTTGACATCATCTGATCCCGCCAACTTCATCCAAATTTAATTCTCCCCTCGATTTTAATCTCTTTTAATGAAATACTCAAAGCCTACATATTCATCACATCAGGGGAAACACAGAGACACAGTGGATATTGAACTGAAGACAGAAAGAAACCAAGGGGGGATAAAGACAAAGGGGACTCTAATACTCTATGGAACAGAGAAAAAAAATCTTGACAATTACCACTAATTGTAGTCATTATTGCTCCCATTCTCTGCATCAATATTGTGATTCATATCGGGGGCCATCAGGGCCTGCCACCGCCATCCCAATTATTTTTCTAATGGCTGTTATTACTCATCACCGTGGTAACCGGGCTAGGCCGCCATTGTTTTAAACAGTGTTAATTGTAATGGTGCCGCTGTGCATCCTGACAAAGTCAATGTAGCGTCTGTCTGTGATTAGTGACCCATCAGAACCAACAGAGAAAGAGGGCTTCAAGTGGGAGAGTGACTTCAGACAAGAAAGCGGTCAAAAGTTTGCTTCTGGGAGGAGGCCAGAAAAACTAATTAGCTGTCCATTTGTACACCCACTTCTCCTGACAGCTGTCACCCCTTCAAAGGAAATCTGCAGTGGCATAGCAGTAAAGTGCAAAGAAAAGCGACAAAGAAAAATAAAAATAAAAATTTGTTAATCGCTGTTGCGAGTGGAATGGCTGGCATCCGCTGTCGCCTGCTGAGAGATGCCACCCAGAAACACCTGCTGGCTGCTGGTGGGTGATCAATCTGGGCAAAGAGAACAGAGGGATGGGGAGACGGTGGGGGAATGAGGGCTCTAACCAGGAAATGATAGCAGGGAGTTAGGAAGTGATGGTTTGGGTATAATAATGCAGCTGGCAGGGGCTGGACAAAATATATGAGAGATGACGCATATTCTTCTGCTCCCGCTCATAACGCAGCTGGGTACAGCACTTTAGTTTGACTGTAGGTTTTTATAGGCTTCACATCAAGGCCATGAGCCTGTGCTTCTGATCACCAGCATGGTACAGTGCAGAGAGGGAATGAGAAGGAGGGGGAGGGAATCAACATCTGTGACAGTGGTATTAATCTGGCCCCCATTAAAATCTGTGCCCATAATAAAACACTCCACAAGCGTCGAATCATATTAAGAGAAAATGCTAAGAGCAATCGATACCATGGTAGTGCAGTGACGGCTATGATCAACGGATAAATAAAACAGGAGGGGGAACAAAAACAATCACTTCCCTCTCCAGCCAAGCGGGGGCAGTATTTCATAGCAGTGAATTGGTGCTTCTTATCATTTGAAATGCCTCTACCCCTGCTGTCACGGCCCCCAGAAAAAAGGAGCCTTTATTTACTACGGCAATAGAGATCCGAGAAGGGCCATCATTTCAAAATACATAAACAAATAAATAAATAATAGGCGTGCAAATTCATAAGACAAGGCTGTTCAGGGGCCCGTCCTAATGGTCCCGCAATGGGGTTGAGTTATAAGCCGAGGGAGGAAGGGGATAGAGGGACAGAGGGGAGGGGATGAAGGGAGGTGTGGAGAGTTAAAAGAGGGGGATTTGGGAGGCAGCCAGGTGGACTGCTGGCTCACCCATGGTCACGGTAAATTCTAGAAACTGCCTCACTGGTGCAGGGTTAGCCGGCTGAATTACCGCCTCGCTGCGCCTCTCTCCCTCGATTTCACTCTCCCCTTATTTCTCTCTCTCCGTGTCTCTGAGAGTGAAGAGAGGAAAAGATAGGACAAAAAGACAAGCCACACAAGAGATGAGCTGTCTCCATTTGCCCCAAACAAGCCTCAATGTATCCTTGAAGTAGTGCAGTCACTGTCTCCCTATTCATTATCTCTCATTATCTTTCAATTGGAAGTGGGCCAAGAGCTTGTGTTTTCTTTGCATGCTGGCCACAGACTTACAAGGGAATCGATGCAGGAGACTACAATGCACAACCCCTTATGTTATTACTGCTTTAATTAAAACAATAACAGCAGCTCATAGTTTCCACTCTTATGGGGTCGTCCGTTGGCAAGTTCTCCATCTCTTCCCATCTGGATGTACATTTTTCCCGTTATCCCCGGAGTCTGCGATGCGAGCCGGGTTCCACAGCGTGTATGCAAATTGAGTTTGCAATGTTTATGTGTGTGAGTGCGTATGTGTGTATATGTGTACGCATACTTGCTCCAGGTTAATCACAGAGTTTTGCAGTATACTGACTCTATGAAATAGCTGACTTTGAGGTTCTTCTCCTCCATACCTCCCTCTACAGACCCACCACCCCACCACCACCACCACCCCCCCTTTCTTTTCCCAGTCTAAAATTATCACTCCATCTCTCTCAGGGAGCCAGAATTCTGCCAATCAAATCCAGTGCAAAGAAAAAAGATGCTCCCTCTATAAATAATACATAATCCTTTACAAATCTCGCTCTCGTCTCTCTCATTACCTTCATTCTGTCGTTTTCTCCTGTCCTCCTTTTCTTCCCTCTCCTCCACTCAGCCTTTCTTCTCATTTTTGGAGCGACCCCCCCCACTTCCACTTAGTCCACATCTCATAATTCTCTCCTCCCGCTGCCTTCATGTCTAATCTAATTCTCGCCATCTCTTTCTTTCTCCTTTTATTTAAACCCTCAGTCAGTCTCTCCATCCCTCTCCTCCCCACCTTCTGCCTGATCTAATCCTTGATTCCTCCTGCCTTCCACCAGTACCTTTCTTCCTGTCTTCTTCTTCCTTCTCTTCTCCCTTATCTTTTATTGCATCGTTCCTCATTCATCTTCCTCGTCAGCACTGTCCTAAAAACCCCCCCTCTTCTCTTTTTGGGCCTCAGGAGAATTGTTGCAACTCTTTCTTTCTCACTCCCGTTAGCTGCTGTCTCTTCACTCCTTCTTTTTCCTCCTTCATGTAGATAAACCCCCCCCCATTCAATAGTTTCCTTCCAAGCTGCAATAGGCTTTTATTCCTCTTGCAATCTCTCTCTCTCATTCTTTCTCTTTTTGTGACTCAGTGGGAATCTTTTCCTGCCTCTCTGCTGGTTCCATCTCCACACTCTCCTTCGCTAAATGTGATTTGTTCTGCAGCTCAAGTCTGCGGCATAATCGCGCTGTTTTTATAGTGTGCCGGGAGAGCGGAAGAGAGGGAGCAAAGGAAAGACAGAAAAAAGTGAGAGCATGGAATGGGACAAGAGGACAAAACAAATGAATAGAGTGGGAGACTGAATATCGCAGTTTTTCCTCCCTCTTTCATCTTCTCTACATTCGCTTCTTTTAATTGCCAGTCGTACAGCTCGGCTCTCTCTCTACTTTTCTGTCCTTCTCGTCTTTCTTAATCTCTCTCTCTCTCTCTCTCTCTTTGGCAGGAACTTCAGACCCTCTCTCATCCGACTCTCTCTCATCACCCACTGGTATTTTGTGAGGACTGCACTGCTAATCAGCAAAATCGGCATAAAATTGTCTCTGTTCACTCTTGACCTATCATTAGAAACATTTACTTTTCATTATATATTTCTTGTCTGTTTTTAACTCCGACTCTCCTCCCCAGTCACACTTCCCCCATCCTCAGAATTGAAATCTGTTGTCTTCTTCCTCTCATCACCTCCACCCTTCTTTTTCCTTTTACCTCCTCCCATCCTCCCCTCTCCCCTCCCCGCATCTCTCCTTTTGACCTTCGCATCTTTATGTCTCTCCAGCCCTTTGGTGTATTTCAATCACCTCGTCCCTCTCTTGCCCCATTCCCTCTTCCTCTCTCTCCTGCTGCATTGCATCTCCCCGAGCGCTCTCCTCTCCTCTTGTCCACCCATCCCATTACTCTCTCTGCTCTCTCATTCACCTCTTCTTACCCTTCACAAACCACCATCTCCCTCTCTTTCCTTTCTCCTCTCTTTCTGACAGTTAAAGCTGGTTAGCTCTATCTACTGTGCAGAGTTTTATGGCCTGAGTCTGTCACAGCCCCAACAACCCCGCGACAATGGCCAGCACACACAACCCAACAGCGGCTTAAAGGAAATTTACAGGGCTATTACGCGACGGCTACCACACTGGAGATTCACCACAGCCAAAAGCACTGGTCTTAACACCCCTTCAAAATCCACCCCATGGCTGCCTTCCCTTTGGTGTGTAACTGTGGTGGGTGATGCTGATGAATGTGTATGCGGGAGAGAGGAAATGTACGGGTCTAAAAGCAAGAGTGTGCTTGTGTGAAATGGTGTATGAGAGAGTATGTGTGTGCACATTCAAGGCCCAACACAAAACTGCCCTACTGGCATGAATTGCACAACCACACCAACTGCCAAGACCCAAACTCCTCCTTTTTCTGTATCCCTCACTCCCCTATTGTCACCCCTGCCCAGTATCCCTCTCAACATACCACAAAACACAATGTCCTTCTGTTGATCTAATATGCAAAAAAAAAAACAGCCCTGAAGTGAGATTTTGGTTGGCAGAGTGGAGAAGGTACTGTGCACAGCAGCACAACACTTGTTTACGAAGGAGCAGCAGGGAAAGAACATCTCACTGTATTAAATGCATAATAATGATGACAGGAGGTATTAATAGCACCTAGCAAGGCTGCCACTGATCCCACTCCACTTCATATACTGTTTTTTATCACCATCTTTGCCTCGTGTTCAATCACTCTTACGACTCTTGGCTTCAAATCTCGACCTCATGCAGCTCTTCTTTTTTTTGAGGCCTTGTCTCGTGTTTTATCTTTGTACCCCTCCCCTGCATCTCTGTCTTTCTTGCACACACACACACACACAGACTGTGTTGTTCTCCGTCTCTGTCTCGCTATTTCTCCTTTTATGCCTGTGCTGCTTCCTCACATACAGTACTCATTTCTATTTGGCCTGGTCCTTATGTCAGTCTGTTTCTTTCTCTCAATATATACTGGCCTCTTGTACTGCACCCCCTTCCCCCTATTCTCTTTCTATTCGACAACCTCTTGATTTGGCTCACCATATCTCTTCCACTCTGGGATCCAACTTTCTTTTATTAGGTTCTTCAGAGGGAAGCTGAGAAAAAGGCTTCAGCCCGTCTTATATTTCTTTCTTTCTTTCTGTTTTCATTTGTGACCGTTTCCCTTTAAGTCTTTTGGTCCATCCGTCCACTCTCTCTCTTCCAGTCTCTCATTCCTCCATACTTTCACCTCCTGGGCATGCTCCTGTCTTCACATTCTCTCTAGTCTTAATCTTAATTACCAATTCTAACTTAATTACCAGCATTTTGAACAATTCATCTGAAGTTCTTTTTTCATGATTCCATCGCAAGCTATTCCTCCCTTGGCCATGTGCTGGGTGCTGCACTGAAACTCATTCTGTATCAATTTACACCAATTAGTATCATATTCACTATTGTGTTCTCTTTTTTGTATAACGCAGGCATTAAATTGCATCATTTAGAGGTAGCCTAGATCTGCAGGGAGTTTAAATTAAAAGAACAAGGAGCTTGAGTTTACGTTAAATTGCCACATCCTGACTATAATATGAAATGAGTGTGTACATGTAAACTTTATGTGCTTGTTTCCCTGACTTATTTGGTGTCTAATAACACCTGAGTTTCCCTCTAGAAAAGTCATGTCTCATTTTATCTGTGTGTGTGTGCCTGCGTGTGTGTAGACACGTGAGTGTTCATGCGTGCATGACTTACGAGTGATACAGAGCAGGACCAGGACCAGGCTGCGCAGGACCAGAGAGAAGGGGGCAGGGAGGAGGCGGCAGAGGACAGAGCTCCGAACAGGCCTCATTGTGTATTGAGGAGCTGTGTGTGTATATGTGTGAATGTGTGTGCGTGTGGATGTGTACGTTTGATCAATGGCTCCTCTGTGACCCTGTCTGCACTGCTACAGACAAACTAGTGCACACACACACACACACACACTCACACTCACACAACTGCAATGCTGCAGACACGTGCACACACTAACTCCCCAGCTTTACTTCAGTGCAATCAGACAGAAGTTGTTGTTTGAGGACAACATTTAAAGAAAGGACTCTTATGTGCTACACTGTATCACAACACATGCAAAGAAACTGCTTAATTGCTAAGTCACATAGAACTGAATTGTGTCCCGGGCTTGCACGCAATACACAGAAGTTTGGCCAGAGCTCAGGGCGCTAACAGAGCTAGCGATTTATACACAATATCACAATGCACACAGAGATGAGCTTAGGGCAACAAAAAGTTCCACTGTTGACTTTAGCACCTTGTGTTGCTTAGAAAGAACTTACGACATGCGTCTTAAATCCATACAGTACAGAAGCTTTGCTGCTACAAAGCAGTACAGGAGCTCAGTCCCATCTAAGCAAACCAACAACAAAGCAAACACTTCTAGGCTAGCTATTTTCTGCTACAGTGCTCTGAGCCTCATGAGACCAAAGCCCAAGACTCTCAGATCAATAAACCAGAAAAACCAATACCAAAAGTGACCAAAGCAAACCTGCAATACTGTGTTCTTTACCAGTAAGAGTATTTCCTAATGGCAGCTATGCAATTAACCAAACAAGGGACAACTTAATTAGCACCTCATCGACTGTACACTGCACTGTCAAACTCAGAGCTAAGCTAGTTCTGAGCACCAGGCGCCTTAACAATCAGCCACACAATTAACCACAACAACAGACTGCTTGTCTCTTGCAGGTCAAACCGCACTGCTCCAAGGAACAGAAAACATCAATAAAACTATATTTCATTCAGATACAGGCAGAGAGACTGTCTTCCAAAGCAAGTTAAGTTTATCTCTACTGATGTTGACTGAATGCAAACTTTTGAAATAGAGCTACCTACATTTCCATGCCCTCGAGGACAGCGAAATCTAGGGCAACAATGCTCATGAACAGATTGTATTTTAATGAGTCAAACAAGGTTTCCTGCACTTCTCACCCGACAAATCAGCAGACAGAAGTCAATGTTCCTTTGAGCTATAACCGAACCGACCAGGCCTCTGGGGAGATGGAGACACTATCTTGCAACTCATCTGGAGATAGCTAAGGTTAAATAAAATCCATTGAGCTTGAGTGCCGCTCTATAAAGACAGAGAGTGGAAGTGCTTGCCCTGTGTAGAATAACCAACTTGCAGGAGACTGAGCAAACTGCAGCCAGACGCTTTAGTTTCAGATATTACAGTTTTTGGTCTACTATTTTACCCAAGAGACTTGCACATTATTCTCACAAGGTATCTATTATTCGCTTGAATGCTAGAACTCTTTTGATACGCTATCATGTATACACTGTAGCGTAAATGGACAGTGATTTTACGTGGTAATTTTAGACTCCTCAGAATAATCACAGGCTATCAAGACAGTATAATCGTGCAGTATCGACCTGCCTAAGTCTTCCTTTCCAACATGCTCCACTGGGTGCAGTCAGTGCCTGGGTGCCCACCAGATACACACTCACTCATACACACTGATCTGAAAGCCTGCTGTGTTTAAAGCCCGGACAGAGTTCCGCTGATTGTCAGGACCTAATGCATCGTCAGTCTCTGGGAGTGTGTAGCTCTCGCGTGTTTGTATGTGTAAGTATGTGTGTTTGCAGTGCAGACACAAAGCGTGACGAGCCGCACCACACACCTCACTGAGCACTATCTGATGGAGTAAAGTGCGGGTGTCATCCTTAGATTACTACACACTGCCCACTCTCTCTCACTCTCTGTGCCACTGCAAACACAATGAGCTCTAACGGCGATGGCCCTGACACTTCTGGCAAAGCCGAAAGCGGATCATCGCCAATCTTCCCTACGGTGCTGACTTCACCGGTCAACTGGCTGACGCTGAGAAAATTACTCAGTGTTGGTGTGCACCAACAGCGCTGGTCTGGCAGGTCTGGGGCCTGGCAGCAGTCAGACAGTGACAAAGTCTATTCACTTGTTCAAATTGATCTCCTCAAATTGTGTTTAGTTTATCCGTTCTGCCTGCTTTCTCTCCCCTCTTCCTTCAATCCTCCAGTCAATCCGTAGAAGCTAGTTAGTTCCTGCACATGTGTCCTCCTTTCGCTTCACTTTTTTCCTGTTGGTCTATGAAAATTGCTATAATCCCAATGTAGTATCGTTGTTGATCACCAACCATCTGTCTATCCGTTTTCTGTCTTCCACTTGTTTATATAACCCTGGCCACCCTCCCCTTGCTTAGAATGTGTGTGTGTGTCAGTGTGGGATCAGTGTCTGCATATTTTGCATACTATTTTGTGAAGGTTAGAGATGAGTGTGTGTGGATAGAAGCAGTGACAATGGTTGTCTTTCAGGTCAACAAACAGTGGCGGTGTGTGTGTCTGAATGTGCTTGTCTGTCCAGTGTTGACTGAAGCAGAGTGTACATTTGGCTGTCTGTTGGTCCTTTCACTATCTACTACCCATTAATTTATCCATGCAGGCACACACAGAGGCATCATAGTGCCTCTTTATGTTAAATGGCCGTTTTTATGGCTGCAGGGACGCGCACGGCTGTCTGCTGACAAGAACTATGTACATGTTTGTGTGTGGTCTTTGTAATTTGAAGCGGATGTGAACAAAGCAGAAATGAACGTGACTATGACTGTGTTATGAGTTATGCTGATGTGAAGCTGGCTCAATAAAAAGGTATCACAGAAATCATTGCTAACAGCTAGTCCAACCTGTCAGTATATTTTGCATCAACACACCGTGCATTATGCAGTTCCTCTGTTCATGCTCATTGCCACATGTACTATCATTACTGCTATTAGCAATAAAACTGGCAATACAAAGCCAGTGGTGGAAGCTAACTACATTAGACTCTGCGTCTATGACTTTCATTGTCCTGTAAAATGCAAAAGGCAGCACAGTTTTGCTATTATAATAGCACCTCTACTTGTTCTTAATCAACTGATCATAAACTATGAGTTCTAATCTGCCACAAGCTGTATTTACAAACATCTTTATGCATTCAATTTGAATCATGCTGTTCCCTATTATCAAGTCAAATAAAGTTACATTTATTTATCAAGTGCTTTTAACAAAATAGGGTCATCACAAAGTGTTTTATAGAGCAACAAAGGACATAATTACAGACAAAAAGAAGAACACATTGCAAACATTGCACTACTGGTGAGTGTGTGTATTTGTGTCTACAAAGTCCCTGTGTGGCAACCCCCTGATGGGTGTATTTGTTTTTGTCGCAGTGTGTGCCGAAGGAAGGGGGGTATTGGCAAATTGTGTCCCCTATCCCCCCTTCCTCTTTTTTCCTCTTCTCTCATATCCTCTCTCTTTCTCTCTCTCTCATTCCTCATCTTTCTCTTCTCCTCTCTCTCTCTCTTCTCTCTCCTCTCTCTCTCTCTCTCTCTCTCTCATCCAAATCAAATTTTTAATGGGCTTCATTGGTGCCACCGTGGAATAAGTGTTGCCAAAGCACTTAAGGGGCTTAAGTCAGCGGCGTGCTGAAAATATTAAGCACTCAAACAGCCTTACAAGGATCCCTGCCTGCTTAAGTATGCCGAGGAGGTCGTGCCAGCATTTAATACCAATGGTATTAAAGCGCTCCGACAAGGGAGAGGAACAGAAATATAGATATATACAGTATGTACCACATCTGGGAATAGATGGAGAGATGGGGCTGGTGGGAAGAATGAAAAGAGGTGATGGAGGCATGAGGTGGGAGACAAGGGAGAGGCAAAAGGGATGGAGGGATTAAAAAGGGGGCGAGCAGTAGTGAGGTGAGGAAAAGAGTGAAGCTAAAGAGAAAGGACAAAAGATAGAAGGAAACTGGAAATAAGTGGTGAGACAGTCAGAGAGAGGCACAGAAGGAGAGAAGGGAAGAGGAAATAAAAAACAAGCAGTACAGAAGAGAAGAGATGCGAGGGAATCGGGCCAAGGTGTGGGAGGTAAGGGTTGATGGGATAGCTGTGAACCAGCAGCAGAGGGCTAATGCAGAGATTCTATCGGGGGGCTTATCCGAGATTAAATTTCTCTTTGTCCTTAAGGCGCTTCTTGGGTAAGCGGAAGTGTCGAATTTATTTCTTATGTCTCCCTTGTGGTTGTGCAGGCGAGTGGGTTGGGAGAATGTGTGTGTATGTATGTGTATGTGTATGTGAGCGTGTTGTGGGGGGTACATGTACTATATGTCTGTGTAGGCGTGAATCTTGAGGGTTTATTAACTGGCAAAGTGTGAAGGAGGACATGTGTTCCTGAAAGGTAAAGATAAATCAAGTGAACATTATTTTAGCATAATTGAACCACCAAGTATTAGTGTGGTTACATTAATTTAGGCATTTGAACTCATACATATAGATATTCATGAATACAGATTGTGTCTATTCTGAATGCAATTCAAATGTTATTTTCAAGTTTGCCTTTTTTTGATAAGTTTTCAAGTTTGTTTTATGATGCTGCCACAAAGTCCCAGACTACTAGAAAGTTTAATCACTCACAGGAAAGTATTATCTGAACAGGCCTGATTGTGAATTTTCCTCGGTTTTGCTCCTGTGTAAACAAAATGCACAATACTACTAAGATACTGCAAACCATTCCATTCCTTATACATTATCTTTTACAAGGAAAAACAATCAGAAATACCCAATTATTGGGCATTTTTCTTAGAAAAACAATGATTTTGACCCAGGTCTGAGTACATTCTCCAGGTGCTGCTCAGCCCCTCCATGACCCTCTGCTCTCCTTCTCCTCCATCTTTTTGATTTCTTCTTTGTCTGGCTGACTTAGTGTTAATAGCTAGCCTACAGCCATGTGCTAGCTAATCCAACTGGGTTTGCTCTGAACTCTCTAATTAGAAAAGTCACAGCTCCTCAATCTATGGACACTATCAGTGACTGCATTTTCTGGAGGCAAGGCTCAGGCTACTTCCTGCTCACCTCACGCTCCTGGGCAAAGGGATCAATACAGCCTGATCATTTGGGTACATTTCGAGTGGCACCACCTGTCTTTCTTCACACAAGTTAGGATTACAAAGTTTTGATTTTCTTTATTTTTCGCAGTCTGTTGATAGTGGAGCCTGGCAAATAAATAAAAGTCAATATGGCTCACATCATGCAGGCTAACAAGAATACAAAACAGATATTAGGATTTGAATCACTGCCTGTCTGAAATTACATGGTTTGGATGTGAATGCATGAGCAGGCTGTGTGTTTTTTCATATATCCCCACTTTGCCTCACATTTCCCTGTGTATCTACTCTAAACTAGGAGATTAAACTCACTTTCTGGCAGACAGCAGACTTGGCCCTGTCTTTTCACTGGTTTTACATGGTGGAAGGAAAGACAAAAAGGCACTGTGGTAGCCATTGTAAAAATCCTATTATTAGTCTCATCCCATTATGCATTTACCATGCATCAACCGTGCATTAAAGGAGACAATTTTAGCTTATTCTTTTCGAGCCTGGCAAAGAACTGAGCATGCATTTTCGAACAAAACACTCTCAAGTGACAGCCTGCAAGAACTGAAGATGGAGAACGCTATTGATGGCTGCTGCTACTGTAGTTGAATAAGCCAGTTGAAGCTCATTACTTCAGTAGAAATGCTCTTCTTTTTTAAATTCACTGTGTTGAAGTCACTTAATCAGATAGACCAGTTAACAAACACAGGACATAACCTTTCTCACATGCATGTGGTTTCACCCTGAAGACCCTCAAGATCTTATTACAAGTAAGAAAATGCCTCTCGGGTCAAACACTGAGTCCTGCAAATTGCTCACACAAAGATTATGTCTGACAGCTTACCGATTTGGTACAAATATGCTTCTTTCTATCTAAGCTTAGTATCAGATTTATATTCTTTGGGTATATTTTGGTACCACAGAGGACTAACATCATTAAATACAGCAACTAGTATCCAAACATGAATTATTATATTGAACACATCTGAAAACTCTTAACAGCAAATGCAAATGTTCGCACTAAACATACCTGAAAAACACTCACTGTTTCACTGACAATGCATTTCTTTTGTTTTCCCTACAATGTCCATTTAAGGCAACTGAAGAATAATTACTGATTACTGTTGTTACTGTTACTGTGTTAATGGTCAAGGATGCAACTCCTTAAAAAAACCCACAATCCTTACCTAACCTTAAAAAGAACACTTTAGTAGCCTAAATGAATAACATAACAATTTTACAACACACAAACCCTAATCTCAGTCAACGTCCTGTGCTTTGAACGGCAAACTATCTATCCTAACCTACTCCTTGTGACTTCTGTGCTATATAACAAAGTCAAACTTTCTTAACTTGAAAAAGCCTTGCCAGTAAACCTAATTCCGGCAGCAATTACTTTCCCTACAAAACGTAATTGGCAGAGCAAATTAGTATATGTATTTTGTAGGAGACAAGGTTGCAGTGTGAATGACTGAGGAGGCCCAGACAGGAGCTCTGAAATGCCAGGAATTATACAGCGTATGACATTTTGGGGAGAGCGCCTTTAGATTGAACAGGAAAAAAACACAGGTACAGCTGCAAACAGTTAAAACAGCAATCATACAGGTTACGTGTGGATAACTTCTGAAACACTATCAGTCAAGGAAGATGCACTGGGATTTGAGGGCAGCTGCAGATTGTCTCATTTGCTTAGATAACTTGGAGAACTGCAGGATATAAGGTGTTAACATGTATAGGCCAGCAAGGCTGGAAGCATTTTAATGCAGACATGCCACTTAAATGTGCTCTTGGACCTTGCTGTTTTCATACATGCATTAATAGAAAGATACACAGTTTAAGTATGAGAAGGCATTACAGGCATATTTTATGCATAACCATGCAAGGCCCCCCCGTTGGGATGCAACAGAATGCTAAGCTCAGTCATCCCTTATTCAGTAAGATAAATGAAAACAGTGTTACCTGCCAAGTTGAGAACGTACTGTCGGAGCTTCCTAACGAGTGCTTCTGTGTGCGCTGTGAGCCACATGCTACACAGCTACCTGCTGGGAGTAACACTCATTATCCATGTGGCATCATACCTCCCAGTGACAGGCTGCAACTCTCTGCTCACTGTTTTCTCTGCTGCAGTGCATGTGTCAGCCTCTCTTTTTTGTGTTCCCGGTGCATGTGCAAACATTTGCGTGTTACACGTGGGAAATTCTCCTTTGTTCCCAGATGTGTGTATGTGTT